CAAAAGTTGCAGCATCGATATCCATCCAGAAGTTGCTGAAAAATAGCGTGGAAACGAAATGATTCCATATACAGTGTATAATAACTAATCAATGGCCGGATAGTGCGGAAACTAAATCTGGACTGACAGGCGGACGAACACGCTAAAACAGTCCCATCACTCCCGATTTCATCAGCGGGGGAGGGGATAAAAATGTCTGTAGTTTTAGTTCCAATAATTGATTTCAGTCCTAAAAATTTGTGACGTTTGTGACTCAGTGAAAAGCATTGAAGAAAACAATATTTATCTCAAATTTGTGACATTTGTGATTTTAAACTCGTGACGAATGTGATTGTCTAAAACATTGGATCACATGCATCACAAAATTTGTGACGAATGTGATCTCATTCTTCACAATTGTGACGAATGTGATTTGTGACACATGTGGCCTTACAATATGCATAAGGTTATGAGAGATTTACAATATAATGAACAGTTATTCAAAAGTGGTTAACAAAACATATATACATATAGGTACTTGACTTAACTTTACTCTTTGCCCACAATTTGTCTTACATAAATGCTATCACAATTATATATATATGTTCATACACTCATACAGGTTGAGAAAATCATACCATACAGGAGAATGAGTTGTTTGGATTGTCATATAATTATTTTGCAGAATAATGCAAGTTTTAATGAATTTGAATGGTCAGCGCTATTCATTAAAGATTCTAATTTATAAATATTAGGATGATTTGAGAATTTTTTTTATCAATAAACTTTTTACGAAGAGAATTAAAGAAAGTTACATTCAAATAAGTAGTGAAATTCATCCCCAAGAGATTGTTTTGGACATAAATGACATACATATATTCTATGGTTTCTTTCAATATGTAAATGTCTACCCTTTTCTATAGGTAATAAGTGGTTCATATATAGTTCTGAACTTTCAAAGTATTTTACAGAGATTGAAAGGTAATCCATTGTATATCTAAATATTTCTCGAAACAAAAGTTTACATATACACACGATAATTAAACATTACCCCAAGATTTCTCTGGTCGCTATTAAGTCTACGAGCAGTCCTCACTCCTCATGTACAGTATCAGTATTGGGAGTGGTACAAACTATCCTTATTGTCAGAATTAGATTTTGGGATTGGTATTGTTAAATTAGTTTAACATAACATGTGTCGCCTGATGATGGCCAACTAAGTAGCTGCACGATTGGACAGTTTGTTCCCTATATATTGCGGATACTTTGTAGCATGTTGCAACTTCTGTGTAACTGGGGACATAAAAATCATTAACAGGCCGAAACGCTCTTTTTACTCAAGGGTCATACCTTAAACATTCAACCGGAAAACCCATATGCACATGAATTGACTTTCCGATCAATCCTGTTAAGTTTCAGTCAAATTGCATAAGTACATAAACAAAACTTAAAACAATAATCAAAGGGTCATAGCTCTTACAAAAATCATTGAACTAGAAAATGCCGGATGTGCACAATTTGGTTTAGACCATACCTGTAAAGTTTGGATGAATTTGGACCAGTATGTTTTGAGTTGTCAGGACAAGTTTTGTGACGGATAGACGGATAGGCAGACGAGGGAGAAGTGAAACCTTTATCTAATGTAAAATTATATATTATGATAACATCTTGGAATATTATTATTGTTCATGTAGTTACACATCTGCCTTTTTATCCTATTCTTATAATAATAAAATTAATTTGTTGAAAGCATTATGTAATGACACTCGGCTGTTTTTTTTGGACTGTTGCCATGTGCAATAACATTGCGGCAGGAATTATAAATTAATACACGTATACTGTAACGAACTGTTAAAGAGGCATCAAATACATGTGCACTTATATACTGGGTCACATGTTCGAGAGGCATTAAATATAGGTTAACTTACTGGGTCACTTTGTTTGAGAGGCATCAAATGCAAGTTCACTTATATATATAGCGGGTCACTATGTTCGAGAGGCATAAAATACATGTATACTTACCGGGTCACTATAACGGACAGTTAGAGAGGCATCAAATACATGCATGCAGATGTTCTCCCAATACACCATTATCTCACTTCTTTTGAAATCAAAATGGCGGCTTAATTTCCAAAATTCCATTGTTAAACAGCTATCGACTGTAATAGATGTCTGGTTTATTCGACAACCTGTAAACATAAACATATACTGTATATAAGTCTGATTATTTCAGTGCAAACCATATTAGATATGTGCAGTCTCTCCAGAGAAATTATAAAGAAAGTCTTACCCTGGTGTTGCTAGTACATATTATTCTGGTAAAAAGAAAACGCTCACCAGACAATTTCCTGAATTTATATGACATAGAGTATCATATACCCCCCACCCCTACCCCGCCCCCACCCGACACACACAAAGAAAAGAAAACGAAATAAAAGACAATAAAAAACTAACAAAACCTAATGCAAGGCGCACTCACGCCTGCACACACACGCACGCATGCACACGAAACAACGAAGGATGTATAATAAGTAGCAAACCCTCATGTTAAAGTCAGTGAGTTTAGTAATCCTTTATGAATTTTATCACTTATATATTGAAACATTGTGATATAATCATACCAAGATCAAATGTAGTAGCTTCCGACACTGAACTTTTCTTTCCGCAGTTGTTGTCATGAACATGTCTATTGTTGATAATTGTCAATGTCCCAATATTTCTTGATCTTACAGCGAGACATTTCAAATTGATACGTCTGCTTTTGCCGTACAACCATTCCTAGATAAACCAAGAAGCCTACTTTATCATAAATTATGAATTTTCATAAAAAAATGTTTGCTTCTTTTCTTTTTTATAGCAATTATACTATACACCATTTTTGCTAAAACAGCAAATGTTTTTTTCATGCTTTAAAGAAAACAAACTACTTACTTTATTTTCTTATTTATTCATAAACAAAGACTCACGGCCCTTAAAGGCATAAGAGTGAACAATCAAACAAAACAAAAAACCAACAAAAAATACAAACACGGCATAGAAGTAAATAAGTAAATAAGGAAGATGACTTAGTGGAATTTCAGCATTATTGCTTTGACAAAAATGGCTAGATTAAATAAAGTATTTCTGTTGTCGCTACACATTAGAGCCTGAAAATTTAAAATACTAGGAAACCTTGAATAATGAGTAAAATAAGTACATTTGAAAATATAGTGAAATTCAATGTACATAAAGTTAGTTCCCTATTCCTTATTCCTTATTCCTTTTTCGAATAAGGAATAAGGAATCAGTTCCTTATTCCTTTTTCGAATAAGGCATAGGGAACTAGTTCCTTATTCCTTATTCAAATCTAAATAAGGAACAGCAGAATTAATATTTATTTAAAAATAAAAGTTATACCTCATTCAAATCATTGCATAAAGAATCTGCATAAATTATTTTGAAAAAAAAAATCGGATAAAGAATAGGGAACCTGTTCCTTATTCCTTATTCAACTCCGAATAATGAACAGAAGAAAATACGCAAAGAAAGACACCAGTTGCAATTATTTTTGATAAATCTGCATTAGAATTGCAAGAATCAATCATTAAAATCATATAATAAAGCATCTGCATAAAAATATTTTTTAAAAAATGTTAAAGTCGAATAAGGAATAGGGAACCAGTTCCCTATTCCTTTTTCAACTCCGAACAAGGAACAGAAGAAAATACGTAAAGAAAGACAGCAGTTGCAGTTATTTTTGATAAATCTGCATTAGAATTGCAAGAATCAATCATTAAAATCATGAAATAAAGCATTTACATATTTTTTTTTTGAAAAGAATGTTAAAATCAAATAAGGAATAGGGAACCAGTTCCTTATTCCTTATTCAACTCCGAATAAGGAACAGAAGGAAATACGTAAAGAAAAACACCAGTTGCAGTTATTTTTGATAAATATGCATAAGAATTGCAAGAATCAATCATTATAATCATGAAATAAAGCATCTACATAATTGTTTTTGAAAAAAAAATGTTAAAGTCGAATAAGGAATAGGGAACCAGTTCCTTATTCCTTATTCAACTCCGAATAAGGGACAAAAGGAAATACGTAAAGAAAGACACCAATTGCAGTTATTTTTGATAAATCTGCATTAGAATTGCAAGGATCAATCATAAAAATCATGAAATAAAGCATCTGCATAAAAATATTTTGGAAAAAAAAATGTTCAGGTTCATTCGGCTCCGAATAAGGAACAGAAGAAAATACGTAAAGAAAGACAGCAGTTGCAGTTATTTTTGATAAATATGCTTAAGAATTGCAAGAACCAATCATTAAAATCATGAAATAAAGCATCTACATAATTTTTTTTGAAAACAATGTTAAAGTCGAATAAGGAATAGGGAACCAGTTCCTTATTCCTTATTCAAATCCGAATAAGGAACAGAAGGAAATACGTAAAGAAAGACACCAGTTGGAGTTATTTGTGATAAATCTGCATTAGAATTGCAAGGATCAATCATAAAAATCATGAAATAAAGCATTAGCATAAAAATATTTTGGAAAAAAAATTTTCAGGTTCATTCGACTCCGAATAAGGAACAGAAGGAAATACGTAAAGAAAGACACCAGTTGCAATTATTATTGATAAATCTGCATTAGAATTGCAAGGATCAATCATTAAAACCATGAAATAAAGCAGCTACATATTTTTTTTTAATGTTAAAGACGAATAAGGAATAGGGAACCAGTTCCTTATTCCTTATTCAACTCCGAATAAGGAACAGAAGGAAATACGTAAAGAAAAACACCAGTTGCAGTTATTTTTCATAAATCTGCATTAGAATTGCAAGGATTAACCATGAAAATCATGAAATAAAGCATCTGCATAAAAGGCATTTTGGAAAAAAAATGTTCAGGTTCATTCGACTCCGAATAAGGAACAGAAGTTATTACGTAAAGAAAGACAGCAGTTGCAGTTATTTTAGTTAAATCTGCATAAGAATTGCAAGGATCAATCATTAAAATCATGAAATAAAGCATATACATATTTTTTTTTAAATGTTAAAGTCGAATAACGAATAGGGAACCAGTTCCTTATTCCTTATTCAAAATTCAAATCCGAATAAGGAACAGAAGGAAATACGTGAAGAAAGACACCAGTTGGAGTTATTTGTGATAAATCTGCATTAGAATTGCAAGGATCAATCATAAAAATCATGAAATAAAGCATCTGCATAAAAATATTTTGGAGAAGAAAATGTTCAGGTTCACTTGACTCCGAATAAGGAACAAAAGTAATTGCGTAAAGAAAGACAGCCTTTGCAATTATTTTTGATAAATCTGCATAAGAATTGCAAGGATCAATCATTAAAATCATAAAATAAAGCATCTACAAAATATTTTTTGAAAAAAAATGTTAAAGTCCAATATGGAATAGGGAACCAGTTCCTTATTCCTTATTCAACTCCGACAAAGGAACAGAAGGAAATACGTAAAGAAAGACACCAGTTGCAGTTATTTTTTATAAATCTGCATTAGAATTGCAAGGATCAATCATAAAAATCATGAAATAAAGCATCTGCATAAAAAGTATTTTGGAAAAAAAATGTTCAGATTCATTCGACTCCGAATAAGGAACAGAAGTTATTACGTAAAGAAAGACAGCAGTTGCAGTTATTTTTGATAAATCTGCATAAGAATTGCAAGGATCAATTATTAAAATCATGAAATAAAGCATCTACATATTTTTTTTGAAAAAAATGTTAAAGTCGAATAAGGAATAGGGAACCAGTTCCTTATTCCTTATTCAACTCCGAGTTAGGAACAGAAGGAAATACGTAAAGAAAGACAGCAGTGGCAGTTATTTTTGGAAAATTCTGCATTAGAATTGCAAGGATCAATCATAAAAATCATAAAATAAAGCATCTGCATAAAAAGTATTTTTGAAAAAAAATGTTCAGGTTCATTCGACTCAGAATAAGGAACAGAAGTAATTACGTAAAGAAAGACAGCATTTGCAATTATTTTTGATAAATCTGCATTAAAATTGCAAGGATCAATCATTAAAATCATGAAATAAAGCATCTACGTAATATTTTTTGAAAAAAATGTTAACGTCGAATAAGGAATAGGGAACCAGTTCCTTATTCCTTTTTCAACTCCGAATAAGGAACAGAATGAAATACGTTAAGAAAGACCCCAGTTGCAGTTATTTTTTATAAATCTGCATTAGAATTGCAAGGATCAATCATTAAAATCATGAAATTAAGCATCTACATAATTTTTTTGAAAAAAATGTTAAAGTCGAATAAGGAATAGGGAACCAGTTCTTACTTCCTTATTCAACTCCGAATAAGGAACAGAAGGAAATACGTAAGGAAAGACCCCAGTTGCAGTTATTTTTGATAAATCTGCATAAGAATTGCAAGGATCAATCATTAAAATCATGAAATAAAGCATTTACATAATTTTTTTTGAAAAAAAAATGTTAAAGTCGAATAAGGAATAGGGGACCAGTTCCTTATTCCTTATTCAACTCCGAATAAGGAACAGAAGGAAATACGTAAAGAAGGACCCAAGTTGCAGTTATTTTTGATAAATATGCATAAGAATTGCAAGGATCAATCATTAAAATCATGAAATGAAGCACATACATAATTGTTTTTGAAAAAAAAATGTTCAGGTTCACTCGACTCCGAATAAGGAACAGAAGTAATTACGTAAAGAAAGACAGCATTTGCAATTATTTTTGATAAATCTGCATTAGAATTGCAAGGATCAATCATTAAAATTAAGAAATAAAGCATCTACATAATTTTTTTTTAAATGTTAAAGTCGAATAAGTAATAGGGAACCAGTTCCTTATTCATTATTCAACTCCGAATAAGGAACAGAAGGAAATACATAAAGAAAGACCCCAGTTGCAGTTATTTTTTATAAATCTGCATAAGAACTGCAAGGATCAATCTTTAAAGTCATGAAATAAAGCATCTACATATCTTTTTTGGAAAAAATGTTAAAGTCGAATAAGGAATAGGAAACCAGTTCCTTATTCCACTGCGAATATGGAACAGAAGGAAATACGTTAAGAAAGACACCAGTTGCAGTTATTTTTGATACATCTGCATTAGAATTGCAAGGATCAATCATAAAAATCATAAAATAAAGCATCTGCATAAAAATATTTTGGAAAAAAAATGTTCAGGTTCACTCGACTCCGAATAAGGAACAGAAGTAATTACGTAAAGAAAGACAGCATTTGCAATTATTTTTGATAAATCTGCATTAGAATTGCAAGGATCAATCATTAAAATTAAGAAATAAAGCATCTACATATTTTTATTTTTTTTAAATGATAAAGTCGAATAAGTAATAGGGAACCAGTTCCTTATTCCTTACTCAACTCCGAATAAGGAACAGAAGAAAATACGTAAATAAAGACACCAGTTGCAGCTATTTTTGATAAATTTGTATTAGAATTACAAGGATAAATCATTATAATCATTAATTTTCATAAAGTATCTGCATAAAAAATATTTTGAAATAAATGTCAAAGTCAAATTTAGGAACCAGTTCCGTATTCCTTATTCAACTCAAATAAGGAACAGAAGAATATGCCCAAGGAAAGAAACCGCAAAAAAGGTATGATTTATTTATGAATCGACATCAGCCGTGTATATAAAATTATATAAACGTCACGATTATCCATTGAAAAGCGACGTTACAAACGTGCAGTATTATAAAGCTTTATATACACGGCTTCTTTCAGTTTATGTAAAAAATCACATATTTCCCCAAAAAAGGAAGTCTGCTGTATTATAAATTCGTCATAAAGATTCCTGACATGTTATAAAGCCGTATATAAAAGGTTGAATGCAATATAACCCTCGCCTAGCGGGTCGGGTTATATATACAAACAATCGTTATATAGGGCGATATAATCTGTCAAGAATCTTTATAACTAATGATATATCACTTTTGACTAGTGTGTTTCATTATATCTATAAAAAGATGATGGAATTTCATAAGTACGATTGCTTTATATAACTTTTAAAATTGTAAAAAGGACAGTTGACAACTAACTATTCTAACAACTTTAGAATATGCACGGGGCATAGAGTGTAGCAACCAAGGCGTTTTCAGAACGAAGACATTCTCCTAGAGGTGCTAATTGTCAATGTTGAAGCATGTGTATTCAAGACAAAGATTGGAGAAGTCGTTACCGTTGGCCCTAGTAGCAGGTTGTCACATTTACATTAATACAGCTTTAAAATAAATTCTTCATAATGAAGTCATTACAACAAAAGTTCAGAGTTAAGCCACCATAAAAGGATACAATTGCTGTGTGGTATTATAATGGTCAAAGTTGATTTTAAAAATATCCGATAACTTTAACTTTTTGTCTATGGAATAGATGTTATCGTTGTTGTTATTATCTTAGTATTGTTACAACTTTACAGATCCATACTACGATGTTTTGTTTCGCACATGTGTCGATGCCGTAATGACGATTTATGATTGAATTATTTTTAATATTGAAAGACAAATTATTATGGAAATGGTGTTTATATTCTTATCTTCCGAAAAATAAACTGCCAATTCCGTGAACAATGCTTGATTGTCTGTATGATAATATAGACTTTTGAGAGAAGCTTTAATTTCTTTTCACATTTTTCAAATAACTGTCATTAAAGGATAACACTTTTTTCTGATTAAATATTAATGTAGTGGTTATAAAGTAGCTTACTATAGTAAGTTGTGTCTCTGAAACATCAAATTGATGTTTTGTTTTAAAGATTGACAAACATACAACAGTTTGCTAGACATACTTTTGCCTAAACATCCAGATGGGTTTATAGGTTTCATATTTATTGATTGCCCGGAGCAAATCTCCTTAACTATGAAAGCATTTAGTTGATATTTGGCGCATAAATAGAGGTGAATGACAGAAAGTGCGTTGTTAAAGATCCATAACTCTATGTGCCATTTTAGTTAGTTATTTCCCTTTATAAGTTGGGTTATTATGTTTTAATGCTTTTTAAAAGCATAACTCTAAATTTAAGTATACATGGAGTGCAGTGTTGAAAAATTATAACTGTGCTTTGCCGCATTTTACAATTATCTCCCTATATAATGTTTTAAATGCTTGTCAGACTTTGTCCGGAGAATTATTAAAAAACTTATGGAGAGATTTACTTATAATTTCATAAAATGATGAGTGATATTCAGAGTCAGGTTCATTCGACTCCGAATAAGGAACAGAGTCAGTGCAGTGCATAAAACAATAACTCTTCTTGACTAGTTTTCTCACATTCACAGCTAAGTATATTTTGCTTGCTGTAGACACAACTTTTAAACTATTAAATGCATTTAGTTAATATTGGGAATAAAGAAGGGAATGGCCAGAAATGCAGTGTTTAAGAACGATAGCATTAGCTAACCTTCATTGTACGCCTGTTGTCGTAGAAAAAAATACAATGGTTGATGATTATGATTAGTCATAAATCGTAAGGCTTATTAGATATGTTGGTGTGTAGATCAAGATGCTTCAAATCTAAATCCAAGGTTAAAGTCGGCCCCGCCCTTGAGACTTATCAGAAATAATTGAAAATAGTGTCTCTATTTGCGTATTGTCTTCTTTTCTTTATTCGGAGTTGAAAAGGGAATAAGGAACTGGTTCCCTATTCCTTATTTGACTTTAATATTTTTTTTCAAAATAGTTTATGCTGCAATGATTTTACTGATAGATCCTTGTAATTCCCATTAAGATTTATCAAAAATAACTGCAACTGGTGTCTTTATTTACGTATTTTTCTCTGTTCCTTATTCGGAGTTGAATAAGGAATAAGGAACAGGTTCCCTGTTCCTTATTTGACTTTAACAATTTTTTTTCCAAAATACTTTTTATGCAGATGCTTTATTTCATGATTTTTATGATTGATCCTTGCAATTCTAATGCAGGTTTATCAAAAATAACTGCAACTGGTGTCTTTCTTTACGTATTTCCTTCTGTTCCTTATTCGGAGTTGAATAATGAATAAGGAGCTGGTTCCCTATTCCTTATTCGACTTTAACATTCTTTTCAAAAAAAAATTATGTAAATGCTTTATTTCATGATTTTAATGATTGATTCTTGCAATTCTAATGCAGATTTATCAAAAATAACTGCAACTGGTGTCTTTTTTACGTATTTCCTTCTGTTCCTTATTCGGAGTTGAATAAGGAATAAGGAACTGGTTCCCTATTCCTTATTCAACTTAAACATTTTTTTCAAAATAATTGATGCAGATTCTTTATGCAATGATTTAAATGAGGTATAAATTTTATTTTAAATAAATACTAATTCTGTTGTTCCTTATTTAGATTTGAATAAGGAATCAGGAACTAGTTCCCTATTCCTTATTCGAAAAAGGAATAAGGAACTGATTCCTTATTCCTTATTCGAAAAAGGAATAAGGAATAGGGAACTAACTTTATGTACATTGAAATTCATCACCTATTTCTTGCTGGTTACAAAGTGAGCATGTTCTATTTACTCTTTCAATACCAAAATAGCGACCTTTCTCTATAGGAATATTAGAACTGAGACATCTAAATTTACAAAGAGTAAGTGCTAAATTTCTTGGTAAACATATATATATATATATATATATATATAGTAAATAATGTTCTAATTTAAATTGAGTTTTATATATTCTATAATTTAAAAACACTTTGCAGAATTGAAAAACATCACTATTCCATACTTGTAAATCACGTAATCGTGATTTTATTACATATTTAAGATTATTAAAATTTGTAACATTCTGAGTTATCCTAAAATCAGAACAATCAATATTATTCAAGTAGATTTTACTTTCTCAATCCACTGACAATATAAAATACCCTTTTCATGAAGATTATACATAGTGCGGTACAAAGAAGCACATATTTTATCATTTTTACCATTAACTAGTTTACTCCAAAAATTTAACATTCTGCAAGTAATATCATTTTCAATAGGAAATGCACCTAATTCTCCCAAGACCATAACCAAAGGAGTTGACATCTGAAGTTTAAGTATATATTTATAAAATTACAGATCATTCATGTGATTGTCTGTTGCTTACCTAAACATTTATGTACAGCATTTGCTAATTATTCGGATTTTATTTTTCAAATCGAGAGAGGACAAAAAGAGAAGAAAACATCAAAACAGCAAAGGAATAAATATGATAAAGAAGAAAATATGGCATATAGAAATGTTAAGTATTTCTGTTGTACTTAGTTATGGTTTTATTCAGGCATATGAAGCAACATTAAGCAACATTTGATACTTACATTTGACAAACGGGTAACTGTAACATGTAAACATCTCCTTTGAGCATCGTTCAGTATCCAGTCTGGATGGAAATTAACCTCTATCAATATGTAATATTCTTGGTAGCAACTGGGTTGTTCTGAATTGAGATGATGCATACATATTTATACAATCATATTGCCTAATTTAAATATATTTATTGTAACAATTACCTCTAGATAACTGCATTTTTGTCTTATGATAACAAAACACAAGGAGCACACATCAGATTAAAATACAAACTTACTGCACAAGACAGTTGAAACCCTGTCCCCATCCCATGAAATTGCACACCATTGAATTGCAGGTTTTTTTAAAGGATTACAGGATTTATTTCATCAAGTGTTATGCAAATAAATATTTCATGAGTGTTGGAAGTCACATGTGAAATGTGATAATGTTCATGCTACAAGACAAAAAAATCCTGTATTTATAGAAAACTCTTCAATTGTCTGTTTATTATTTACATTTTTCTCTTTTCTGACATTTACAATATGAAAAACTTGTGTGTATTGGCTGAATTTAAAAGAAAGTAGTCCGGCAAGACTCCAGTGAAAAAATAGGACCAATATTTATCAATGCAGTTCAAAATATTCTTTTTACAGTGAAAATATGAGAAATGAAAATGTGCATTTTTTATCAATATTTCATTAATCAGTATAAAATAAATGTACCATTTTTTTTAACTTTCAATATTAAAATTTCTTACCCCAATCAATTTCTATATCTCTGCCATCACTGGTAATTTTTATATTTAAATGATAAATATTATGGTTAACAGGTGTTCGATGGTTGGTTGATATAATGCTGCCATTCGGACACACTGAAACATCATGCAGAGTTGAAAACAGTAGATTTTAAGTTGGAAACAGTAGTTTTTACATAGTTGAAAACAGTAGATTTTACAAGTATATAAGCGTTAAATTTTTATTGAAAATGGTGTATGAAACCAACATAAGAAGTTGAAAGTTACAAGTTTAACAATAATGAACTGAAATATTTCTTGTTATGACGGTATTTTACATTTTTCATTTTTATTTTGAAATACTGTAACACAAATATCTGTCTTCACTAGATAAACTATCATTCATATCAACTTTAAAGGGTGTTTTCAATATTTTTCAAATACTATTGCTTGTTTTACATTCTCTAAGTAAAACATTTACTAGAATTGCCGAGTCTTAACCAATACATTTATTAAATGAACTCGGAGTACCAGTTTGCTGTTCTAACTCAATATTTGACAGACTCAGATTATTCAAATTGTCCAACTTGTATGCATTATTCACAGAGCATTTAGAAAGATCTATACAAAATATTGTATATTGCATCCAAATATATAAAATAACATAAAAGCTTCAGCCGCATCACATCACCAATTGTACATAGTCCTTATGCGAAAGTTAAGGAAGAGGATAGAAAAGTTGAGATTAAAAAAGGATAATTATAAGAAAGCACTTTGTTCATGTGTTCAGTAAGATCGTTAGAGAATAAAAGGTAAACAAACCTTGGCCTAAGTCTTGAATTGTAACGGCATACATATCCTGAATATAAAAAACCAGAATGTATAAATTAAATACTGTCATCATACAATACTACTTTTGCATTAAATACAGATACGGTTTTGTCGCTGTAAAACAACCCGGACGTTAAACAACGCCGTCTGTTAAGTCGGACTAGCCCGATTAGCTCAGATGTCTAAGATTAGCGAGTTCGAAACCTAGTAGCTAAATATGTTCTGATTTTCCTGTGCCACTATAGTGATAACAATATTAACATTTGGTTGACGAAACACAGTTAGTGCCGTCGGTTTTTCGACGTTTTTTTGTTTGTTTTTAAATGATTTAGGTAGAAGAGTTGGCGAGCTTGGAGGATACCAGTATGGTATTGGTACAGACGTTACCCAATTGTCCGCGGGAATATATGTTATATTATTATTATAATTATTTTATATCATCGATATCTGAGCAAATAAATCTAATTCCAAAGTAAATCATTTCTTATATACTTATAAATAATATTGAGAAATATTGATGAAATAAAATGCGTATTTTCATTTTCCGTATTTTCACTGTAAAAAATTATTTTTCACTGCAGTGAAACATATTTTCCGTATTTTCACTGGTGTCTTGCCGGACTACTTTCTTTTAAATTCTGCCAGTACACAAAATTTAAGGGAGAGTCTTTCAAATTTTATCGCAAAAAAAAAGAAAAATGTGTATAATAAACAGAAAATTCAAGTTTTTTCTATAAATACATGATTTATTTTCATCTTGTGGCATGAAAATTACCATATTTCACTCGTGGCTACTGCCACTCATGAAATATTTATTTTTATACCACTCGATGAAAATAAATCGTGTATTTATAGAAAAAAACTTGAATATCCTCTATATATTATCATTACGATGTTTTCAAAATTTAGTAGAATTAGTTTTCGTTAAATTTTCACTAAGATATTCAAACACAATATTTTTTTCCATACCTTTATCTGGTATGACATACTGCATGAACTTCTGATATAAAGTAGTTCTTGTGTCACACTATGTACTAACAGCACGTGCAGCACAAGAAGTAATGGTACTCTCATTTTACATCCTTCCATATATTAACAGTTGACAACATGTTGACTTTCCATCTGTTTAAACTCGGGGAGGTTTATCTACGTCCCTGCTAAAATACAATTTAATTGGATTATTCAAATTTGCGGGTTATAACAATAACAACACGTTGATACATTTTAAGCGAATCCTGAGCAGCATTTTAGTTATTAAATATTTATTGATTTACTATTTATTGATTGATTATTTCTTTACTGACTTGTTAATTATTCATTTACTTTTGTGTTTATTTTAATGAGATTTTCTTGCTTTATCTTTCTCGAAATTTCGTAAACTAAACTCTAAGAAGTAGTATTTTGTTAAGCACACAATTAACATAATTGCAGGTAAGGTAAATTATGCCCCGACCCATGATGGTCATAAGCCCTCTCCTCCCACACTTTTGGGATTTTGCTAGCTATAATGCATGGAGTATAATATTACACCAAGGTCTGTTGTTTTCTTTATGTAAAACCCATATAAAACAATTGACTCATAACAAAGCATACCAACCCTACCCCCAGGAAAACTAGTAAAATGCCAAAACCCACTCTGGAGTATGCATGAAACATTTTGTGACACCCCTAGTTCCATCTTCCTCAAAATTACATAAAAGATGCATGCACGTTTTACTTAAGTCTGTACATGATAACATAAATCTTCAAAAAAATTGTGTAAATTTCGAAAAGATCTGTAAGTTACGGTACTATATGAAATAAATGGACAGTGGCTGTTTGCCTTTTGAAAGGACATTGTTCTTAACATGGTCCTTTAGTAATAAAAATGTGAATATATTATTATGTTGTTATATTTTCTTTTTAGTATGATGTTTGAAACATGAATTATTCGTGGCAGGTAAATCATCTGTTACAGAAATAGCTGGTTTTGGAGAAAGAAAAAAAAAGAAGAAAATAAAATGTCATTTTGGAAGCTAAAGATACCCAAAGCAATACAGAGTCCTAAGCAATACTTAGAATGAGTAAGTATATGCTTCATTAAGACAAACATAATATATACACGTACATGTAAATGTTTTAAAAGAAACTGTTTAATTAATATATATATATATTATATACATTTAAAATATAGATTAAGACAATATTTTGTAACTTGTATCGTAAGTACTGAAGGGATATGCCCTATATATGTGTGTTCTACTAAGGTTTCTTTTCAATTTTTGCTCTAGAATGTAGTATAGTAATGAAAAAAAGAGAGCAACAGTTGCCGAGGTGAAAATCGATAGCAGGAAATAGTGTCTTCTGGCAAGTGATTAAGACATGGTGGATAAAAAGACGACCAGAAAACCAAACAAATGAAGAAGTGCATATATATACCAGTTGACACTTACATTATTAACTCAATTACAAATTATATCTTTTATTCAACATGATAATGCGAAAAAGTCAACTATATAGTATTTTAAAGTGTTACTTAACTTGTGATCACTGGAGTCAGAATCAATGTGCAAAATCTATAAGATAGTTAGTAAATATATTATATAACAGCACGACACTTCCCAGACATAATATTATCTGTTTTGTTATATGTTAAAGCCCCCTATGCAAAGGAAAGCAAACCAAAATGCTGCTAGAAAAAAAAGAGCTTATTATGAATGTAGGTATGAAATCGGTTGTAAGTCGGTAAACTCCGACTGAGCTGGGTTGCACAACCGACGTCGAGCCGACATAAGATGCCGATATCGGACCGACATTGTAGATGATATCGGGCCGACATCGGTCCTATATGTAATGTTTGCTGGGTGCTTTCATTTATCAAAAAGAGCCTTTATTTATGTTATCCTGCAAAAATCAGTGATTGCATGTCTCTTATTCAAACACCATCCGTCCCGCAAAAAAAGAGTAGAAATTAAATAAAAGCAAGCGTGAAATTCTATATGTTCTTGCACTGTTACAATTTATTTTTTTCACAGATTTATGATATACGTCATTAGACATGCACTAGTTTGTACATGTAAATGCATGTACTATTTTTGTTAAATTCTCAATCTATCTGTACATTTTGATGCATTTAATATCACGAATTTAACTCTTTCAAAACACTGTAAATAATTCACGTGTATTTTAAATTACTTCTAAACATGTGACAGAAAGTGATTATGTTGTAAATATAATAACGTAATTTGTACATTAATTTGATAATTGTTATGTCATAAAAATGAATTACAAAAAATACTGTTAACAGATGACAAAAATTAGAGAAAAAAATATAAATTTGTACTTACCATGAGCTTAAAGCACCATGTTAGTCATAGGATTCTAGACCAAAAAGCGAATATTAGGAACAATTGTTATTTTAACACGATTCGCTGCTCTCTATTTTTATGTAACATAACACTAATTTTACTGATATACAAAACTGACAAGCGTTTCTTTTATCAGATTTTTCAATAGGAGTGAAATCTAATTATAAAAAAAACTATAACGGATATTAGAAAGTCTGTTGATTATTGTAATTATTTGAACAACTTTTAACGCACCAGGTATTTTATTTATAACATTCATTTACTGCCTAACGCGTGGCCTGTCAACCACATGTGCCTACTACATTATATATACTATCAAAGCACAGAAGGCGCTGAATTTGTTTGGGTCTCAGAATGTAAGAAAGGTGCAGGTTGTGAGATTATATGTATAGTGCCACCAATGCTTTCCAGCGTTTTAATTGTAGTAAATTGGATATAAGACTAATTACAACACTGATATTCAATCCAATGTTTATTTGACTTTAACAATTTGAAAAAAAAAATGAGTTACCTTTACTGGGATTTGAACTCCAGACCTCTCGCTTCCTAAGCGAGCCCGAAAACCCTTCAGCCACGGTGAATTTATATGTGAACGGGCTGAAGAAAACCATATTATTCTAAATTAGGGCTTGTAACGACTTTAACTGTTGTTTAACACAGATGTAAATAATCCTGGAGCTTACTATAAGCATTTATATTTATAAAGAATCAAAGGGCTGCAAGTTCTGTGGCATTTTCTGATCTTAACAATCTAAATCGTACTGTATATCTGTATGCATTTTCCTGTATAGGTTTATTTTTATGTATTATAATTCATTTTGCAAGGCACCAGAGTTTGATACATACGGAATTCTGCATCAAAAAATCATTTATGTTCATTTTTTACGACAGTCACACTTTATCCTTGCATATCATGGCTACTTCCTTAACAAAAACACTTAAAAAAAGAATTTAACAAAAAAAGTTTCCTCGACTGGGATTCGAACTCGAGACTTCTCACTCACTAAGCGAGCGCGTTACCACTGTACCACGGAAATGTTATACACAGAGAGTCTGAATAATATCAAGGCATTCTAAATTTAGAACTTCCATTGCATTTCGGATTTGTAATGATAAATCCTTATTAATTTCGAGGTATTTTGTTCAGGGTAAACCTGTTGTTTAAAGTTGAAGTAAATATTTTAGCGAACATCCTCTCGCCCAAACAGTCCGACATGTAGAATCTATATATTCCACTACTCGGTTTGTGTAGTATTCGGTAATAAATAGTATTTTCATTGATAAAATCATATTCATCCGCGTAATTTGTGATTGTGCATTTATTGACAATTCTATAAGCCAACGCTATTGTTTAACTTTAAATGCGTTGTAATTTGTTGGATACTTGTATCAAAATAAAATATTTTTTTCTTTTAAATCGCTAGTTTTAAGCTGTTTTGAGAACTACTTGTTGTTAGGTTTGTCGTAAACTTCTGTGTCAGAGATTGAATGTCCGCTTTGTATTTAGTTATTTTCGATCAGAAAATACAATAAAACAATATTAGAAATCTTCGACCGTTCGGGAATTACTTTGCTTGAAAATTGATGCGCCTGTCTTTGACCATCTTTACGCAGTTTTCTCCCCTGAATTTTTCGGCTTTAGTGTACATACAAAAGGGAAGTAACCGCTTCAAAAAAGTGGACTACTTTCGGCATTTGCAATTAACAACATTAGACTCTGAAATTTCGCTACCATTATTTGTTTGGTCTGACTTATTATTCACCAATCAGTTGTGCTCCCTTTCCCTTCCCCTGGGGTTAAAGGTAATTATGACAATTAGATAACAAAACCCCGGCACAGACCCTCCTCATGGTGACGGCAGACGGTAAAAACTGAAAGGCGCAGTAATACCTAGCTCACCTTTTCCCCGCCAAACAACAACCTCCGTATTGACCCGTTTAGTTGAAACAGAGAAGTGATTCCCTTTGAATAATTATCCTCCTGACAATATTCTGTACTTTTCCATCAGAATAACCCCCTTCAAAACCTGTAGAAGGTTGACCACTCCCTCATCTGTCGAACTCGAACAGATTATTATAACTAACTGTTGTCGCAACATTAACCGTGCATTCTGTGATTTTTGTGACCTTCGTCTTACCGCTGACCTAACTACGTTCTATTCTTTTGATCAAGTCTATTTTCAGACTTTATAAACGTTTACAGATTCTATTCTATTTATTGTTTATCAACCAAGGTAAGTAGTGTACGAATTAACGAGTAATACACGTCAACACCAGAGCAAGTTTACAATATTTTATTTGGGTCTATACTAGTTTCGGTAATCTATATGACCTTCATCAGGACAATTTTAAACAAAATTTTGTCTGTTAAGGTTTAATGTTTATTGTTTGATTGAGACTATTCATAGAATATAATGAAAATACAAAATGTATACAACACCTCTATCGACACCTGGCACCGGTTGAAGCGATTTTAAAGGAATTGGAATCAATGATCTCGAAGGATAGATATGACAACACTAAGATTATGTACGGGGACAATATTTTACAGCTGTTACATATATTTTATTAATGACATTTTCCGACATTTTCCGACACTGTTATTTTGTCCAATGGCATTCACTATTCAGATGATCATAATATGTACACGGCAGTGTTTTAAATCAAACGGAAAAATGTTGAATATCTATCATGTCTATGTATGTCATATTATTTGACATAAATTTTTGTGTACATGTATTTGAAATACAAAACTTAATGGTATCTTTTCAAGTTTTAAAATTTCAGAATAGCCAAGTACATCATGTTTGTATATAGATCTACTACATGTTTCCCATAAATTTGAACAGTAATCAATAGGAAGTGGAATATATATTTTGTAAATTATATTTCTAAGTGTGAGTGAGATGTTTAACTTATGCTAGTGCGTGCTGTATTTAGGCTACTCAGAGTGCTCTTTTTCTGACGTTGTTGAAAAAGAGCCCTAGATTTATTTTATTTCGTGTATAGGGGTAATAAGTTCATGCCTTGGGAATCAAAATTCATTTAAATAATAACGACCGGGGTTCTTTTCATAGAAGAATACTGACTTCCTGGCAGAATTAAAGTACATGTAAAAGTGGTCATTGTTTGCGTTCGTGTTTGCATGCGCGCGCGCGTGCGTGTGTGTCGTGCACGCGTGCGTGAGTGCATGTGTGTGTGTGAAGTACCTTTAAACACAATGACATTGTGCCTCTGCTTAGCGCGACGATATGTTTTATATAACGCAAATGACGTCACGTCAAATTATTTGCACGGCCGTCTAAAATGTGCAGAGTTGCGTAATCGACACAGGTATGTGATAAACATATTTGTTTCCTGAAAGGTTGAAGGTTATATAAACCACTCTAAAGTACAATTCCTGGAACTGACCTGTATTGGTTAATGTGAAGAAATATAGTGGAGACCCGATGCAGTAAGGCTCAAACCCGTGATCCATTAATTCATTCGGAGTTTAACACGTACTTCAACACTCGTCCACCACTTGAAATAATACATTAAGTTCCCCTGTCCTATGCAAAATTAAACCTTTATTTCATTAAATTATTGTACAAAAAAAACAAACTATAATTAACTTACAAGTACGTGTTTTTGTTGATATTGTTGCATTAAAAGTATTGCAAATTAATGACAAGAAGTAAAGTTTGGGTGTTTCAAGTTAAATAAATAATAAAATAGAGAAAAACAGAATCCATAAAGAAAGCCAAACGCGGCAAAATTGTAAAATGTTGCAGGCTCGGTTTGATCGAGTCTGTTCATGGACGGTATTGGAAAGTGCAAGTTACCGTCAACGCCCCCTAACACCGGCTTAAGCAAAATTCAACATTTAAACATAGGCACTTGGTTTCGGGATAAAATAATCCTTTGATAGGTTTGTAGAACTCAAATATAATTGAATGTTACATTTTTTTTAACGTAGATGTCTTTTTTCTAAAACCGTCATTTTTCCGATATTACTTAGTATATAATATCGGAAAATTAAATTTATGACGGTTTTAGGAAAGAGACATCTACGTTAAAAAAATCATTACATTTAATTATATTTGAGTTCTACAAACCTCTAAAAGGCTTTTTATCCCGAAACCAAGTGCCTATATATGCATTTAAATACAAAAATAAAGAAATTTTGAATTTAGATCGAAACATCAGCAGATGTGTTCATACAGCGGTTATCATGGAACCTTCAATGTGACACAGCAGTGTCTTTCCATGAAAAGATTCAACAAACACGACTCAACCCAAGTGAGAAAAAAGTTCGTCTGTAAAGATCATATTTCACTTACAGTTCAGGTGTTACATTTCAAATAAAGAGTACAAATGTACGTGTAATGAGTCATGAATTAGCTTGAAAAGGAAATAAATACTGCAAAATAATAAAGTTTTTAGTCATTTTTTACTGACTTGAACGATATAATTTTGGTATGATACAAGTTCGTATACTTTTATGAATCAGTTCAAAATGGGCTAATTTGGTAAAGGGTCATATAGAGCCGAAACGCCCTCAGTATTTTTGGGTCGAAATGACTTGAGGCTGAATGACTGGAAATCGTTGATTCTAGAGCTGCCAAATCAGAAATGAAACTTCGTTTGCGTTTAGATAAAATTAGCAAAGTCGTCGATATTAGTGATGAAATATCTGAAGATTTGACTGTAGATGATCTATCAGAGAGAGCTTTGAACGTATTTCAAGATTGTTTATATGGGTATACGGAGTTTGTTTTTCTTAAGTTCTTCAAATTCGGATAGTCATATAATCCGGACAACTTTCTCATCTGCCAACTTTCATACAGTTGGACCGTAATTATTTAAAGTGAATATAAAATATAAAGTAGACTTTTATTTTTGGAATTAATCTATCAAAGAAATATTTTGTTTAGTTTCTAATTAAGTAGTAATTTTAGATCTATAAATTTCTAGAAATCAAAATCAAGCTTTTGATTCTGGTTGATAACTAGAAAATTAATATAAGATAAGTCATTGAATGAGTTGTAATAATATCTTTTATATGCAGGTGTGACTTGATAAAATATAGGTCCAGTTCAAATTTGGCTGCCAGTTTTTTTTTTTTCAATTTTCAAAACAATCTGTGGCTTTCTGAAGGGGAAAATATCATATATGGCAAAAAAAAAAAACAATTCTTTTTCACCCCTGTTAAGAATTGGATACAAGGGTTACATTGGTTACTTATGGTTACAAAATGTTTAAATAGAAGCATATTCTTTTTTCCAAAATACATGTATATTTTATGCATGAATTTTGTTGGTCATACAGTCATACAATACCACAAGGGTCAAACAGAGGGATAGGGTCCCTACAGGATTATTTTGTCCATTGTAGTCTATCTCAGAATCTGTATCCTATTGTAACATTGTGTAACCCTTGTATCCCATGTGATGATATATATGCATATATGGCACAAAAACACAATTCTTTTTCACCCCCTCATCACATGGGATACAAGGGTTACACAAGGTTACAATGGGATACAGATTGATTTTTACATTTAATTTTCCTGAAGTTACAAATTTCTGGTAAATAATTTTTTTTTATTTATTTATTTCACAAAAAAATTTGTTTATATAATCTCAGAGTGAAAATTTTTCTAAAATAAAATACATATATCTGTAATCAAAACACCAGTACATGACAGTACCCCAAAAGCGTTTATTAGCTTGAGAAATGGTCTTGTTTATTCAAAGGGGCTTCTATTAAAAAATTGTGTAACCATATTAAAGTAACCATTGTAACCCTTATAAACATGTATCCCATTTTTAACAGGGGTGAAAAAGAATTGTGTTTTTAGGACATATCTAGAAAATATAGCGGAATAAATCAGAAAAGGGGAAATAAAATTCCAACAAATGAGAATGGAATTTACCAACACATTTTATTGAAATTTTAATTTCAATTCTATTTAACATGCATGGTACATAGCAGAGGCTACAGGGACAGCTTTCTGTCTTTTAGCTGATATAATAAGTCAGATGCTGTTATGGTAAGTAATGGTTTGGAAACAAAGTGCACAGGGCATTACAGGGGAAAATATTAGCTTTTTTTAGGGGCAAATATACCTATTTTGCTGTCTATATATCTTCCAATAATGTCAAAACCCTTGCAGGGACGGAGACATGTCTGTCCTGTACTAAAATCTTTATTCATATTATTCTGTTTCCTATCATATATAGAGGGGCATTCATGTTTTTCAGACACTTTTCTAGTCTGATAAAGATTGCATTCTTTTGATCTGATAGTCACATTATAACATATCTGTTTGGTCATTTGGTCTCCCAGGGCCAATATTTCTACATTACTTTGAACTGTCAAACTATTTGTTTCAGAGAGTACTTTTTAAGTCTGAACAAAAAAGATGCACTTAATGGACAACTGAAAGTGAAAGGAGACTGTGATATTGTGAGTGGAGATCTTATCTACATTGTACAGGTTGGGGATCAAATTACTGGATCTGCTAGTTCACACATTGCAAGTATTTTGTTATTCATTTCTTAGGCTTTCATTCTAAATTTCACAGTGTTGAAATATTCACTTATAAGTGGAGATAGTTTATAAGCCACCAGATAGTTCACTCATTATAACCATGCAGAGATCTGCCAAGAATTTGAAAGTACTGGGCCCTGGGCCCACTTGGTCTGAAAATGATGGGCCATTTTTACCAAAGTATGGGCCTTGGGAAAATAAGAAAACATTGACCTAAATAATTGTTAAAAAGTTTGTAGATAATTGAATTTCCCTGGTAATAAAAGTTACATCATATTTTATGACAAGTGGTTCACTTATGAATAATTAAAAAATTATGTCTACATGGTAACTTTCTAACTAATATTAATTGCAGGCAAAATATTTTTTCAAATGGCTGCTCAAAAATTTGATATGCAAATTTATTTACATAATTGCTGGTTCTTACTTCTAATGTCTAATAATGTGCATTATCCATTTAATTGTTCCTACTTTGCACCAAATGTCCCTGACCACTGTATATTGACGAATTTTATTGCCCCTTGTATGCCTCTGTGTAGACAGCATACATCAAAGACACTTGCCGACAGACCTTTTGATCATGAAAAAAATCACACACAATGTTTCCCTGATTGGTTAATCACCCTGTCAAATGTTCTGATGACGAAATAGACATCTTTTTTACACTAAATCAGCCAAAGCTTACATGAACTTGAGTGACCTTAGGGGTGATCAAGTTTTACACCTGTCAGATTATACTGTAACTTACAGCATTTCTTAAAATACCAACACTTTTTTTTTCAGTTATCGATATCGATAATCATTGTAAATATTAAGTAGTTGTATAATTTGTTTGTTTGTTTTATTGGATTAAATTTACGTAGTAGAAATGAGTATCTGTGTGGGAAAGGGATTATAAGAAGAAATGCGGTAAGTAGATAACATGGACAAAAGCTATAGGGGAATGGATTAACTCAAGAATATGTATATGTTAGTGTTCATCCGTGATGTTCTACAGAAATTAGAAACTTCGACGGGAGCGATAGCGACAGGAGAATGTTTCTAATTTCTGTAGAACAGCACGGATGAATACTAACATATTTAGTGTCAAGCTTTATTTGGCCTCATTATCAGTCACTTTATTACGTCACTATGCGGTTCTATGAAGTACTATGAAAAATAGAAGTCGACTATGAACGAATTCGATATAGAATCGACTTTTGTTCTTCTATGAAAATTAACACACTAAAATACAGCGTTTTCATTGGATGACAAATAAAGTTGGACACTAAGCGTAATTACAGGGGAATGGGTAATATGTTGCTGTTAGTACCAGTTTTGACTGGATGACTAAATTACCCAACGGACAGTTTTATTTTCTTATAAGTCTGGCACAGATTTTAGATGCGCCCATGGCCCTTTGCTGCCGATTTTCCTGCGCCATTCTCATTTTTTTAGCGCCAATGGCGCAAAATCGCGTCCTCGGCAGATCTCTGCCATGGTATGGTATGCCAAGAGTCTGAGTCCTGGTCAGGGTGCACATTTTCCTCACATTTGGGGTCTAACAGGGGATTAAAGCCTTTGCTAGAAATGTAGCGCATAGAAGCATTGGTGATAATTTAAATAACAAGAGCAAGCTGTCGGTAGGACAGCACACTCAACAATTCTAACAATTACATATCCGTTGTATAGGCCTGGCCTTGAAGAAAGTCCTATTATACTCACAAAGAAGTGTATAAAATTTTAACTTGTTTCAAAGCAAGATGTCAATGAAATATGAAAATATCTGAGATGGTATGCAAACTTCAACATAAATTTAAAGTAAAAAACAGGGGCATAATTCTGTCAAAATGCTTGACAGCATTACCTCCTCCTGTCTACAGGTTGGGGGCATGATGGTGAAAAAGAGTGCAAAGTTTCAAAGCCATATGCTGATGGATTTTGAAATTATTTGAGGTGGTACACAAACTTTAACGTAAATTGTAAGTCGAAAAATGGCCATAATTCTGTCAAAATGCTTGATAGTGTTACCTCCTCTTGTCTAATTGTTGGGATCATGATGATAAACAAGTGTGCAAAGTTTCAAAGCCGTATGTCAATGGACATTGAAAATATTTGAGATATTACAAAAACTAACATAAGTGGTTACGCAATGCTGAGGTGACTAGTACCCTCTACTTATTCTATTGAATAGTCGAGCTAAAAAAGCAAAGATGAAAAACATATGTTGTTGTTGTTTTAACACTTCTCTGTTATTAATAATCTTCATTCTATCCTTTTATACTAAACATTTTACCAGCAATTAAAGACAGATATATATTGTTATTATGGCAGGAGTTAAGCTATGTGTATGTAAAATTATTTAATTAGGATCTTATATTTCAGGCCACTGCAACAGATGCTAAGGGCAATACAGTTGAAACTGCATCAAAAATAATAAACTTTGGTGAGAAAAAGATTGATGAAAATAAATCTAGCGGAAATAATGCCCAGTCAGCAATGCCTATAGATACAGGACAGCCAGGTACCAGTGCTGAATGTTCCATGGAACCAGAAACAGATGCAAGCTATGATGTTGCCATGGAAACTGAGGAAGAAACAGTAGATCATGTAGTTGTGAAGCAGTGTTTGAGTGAACCTGTTTTATGTAGAGAAGCAGTAAATGGGACAGTACCAGCCTTGTTACAGGAAATATATACATGTCTAGAACCTAGAGACATGGCAGAATCTCTTTGTATAGCTTTACATGTGTTGATGCTGGAAACTGGATTTATTGTATACACTGAGGTAATATCAAAATTATGCTAGAGTCATTAAATTCAGTTAAAGTTACTTTATAGGTCTTTGTTTAACATAGCATTACTTTTAATGTTATACAGCAATTTTCAAGCTTGTATTTTGAAGGTAGACACAAGGTGGCTCCACATGCATTGTTTCATAATCAAGGTAACTTACTTGACTGTCTTGACTTTCTGGCAGTGAAAGGTCTGATTTAGTTTGAATCTGACAGCAGTGTCGTTGTAAACTGGCATTTTATTAACTATGCTGTAAAAGTTTTAAACAAAGGCAATTAGATAATGTAATAAAGTAAAGATTTAGTTAACAAGATTCATGTATTGTTTTCAGCAAGACAAGATAGGTGTTTCCCAGTTACCAGTTGAATGGCGATATAGTGGTTACTTTAAGTTCTCCTACACATACCCAGGTTGTGCTGATACCTCATGCTGTATAACAGTTATTACTACAGGGAATTCTGTCATTGTACATGGTGAGTATACACACAGTTATCCTATCTTGAACTCTAATCATGCTTCATTTCTTAAATGGACTTGTCCAGCCTTCATTTTTGGAACTATTCATTATCAATTAAGGGGACATCAAGATAGAAAATTTACTAGTGCAGAGCTTGATAGGACTAAATGGATGCCAATTTTTTTTTTACATTTTCTTGCCCCCTTTTACATGAAGGGAATGGTCTTTTATGGCTGAGTAGTTAAGGATGCTGAATATAGCTATAAGCCACTCACTTTCATATGTTGGAATATAAACTGTGACAATGAATTCTTTCATATGTATCCAGCTACAATACAACACAAAATGAAGGTTATTTTCTGCTTAGCTCATTTAAGTCACCCTGGTTAGTTCAGTAGTTTGAACATCAGATTATTATAGGAATCATAAAATTCAATTCCATCCAGGTTTAGCCTTGTAAGCAGAAAATCTCTACAGTCTGACAGAATTGATATTAATACACTTGTTACTATCTATAGTAACAAAATTGCCTATGATTTCAACTGATTATGAGTGTCACGTGACCTATTATGAGTTTGCGGCCCGGGGCTGAGAACTAGTTATCAGCCCGCAGAACATGTGCACGTGCACAAGCTGAAACAATGACGTCATATTTTACGTCATCAAACAGTTAACTGTAAAAGTGAAAGTAGGTTGTCAGCACGAATTGCTTTATTTTTATTATGAGAGCTTAAGCATATTTAGTACAAACACATTATTGTTACTATCGAAATTTGAAGAAATAATACGACAAATTCATTCCGAAAAAAATGAAAATAAAACTTGCTTCTAGATTCTACTGCTTTGAACACACAAACAGTAAACATCTCTGTACAGAACAGTAGAAGAGTACTGTAGACAAGAATTTCAACGAAAGAACTTTGTTGTTGTATTTTTAAAAAAAAAAATGCTACCATTAGATCTACCAAGTGTATTAAAGACATTAATACACGTCGGAGTAGGGCCGGGAGGTGATAATTGGCCCTGAATGAAAAATGGCCCTCGGGCTAAAGCCCTCGGGTTCATTATTCATTTTGCGGGCCGATTATCACCTTCCGGCCCTCTCCTGCCATGTATTAATTCTTTTTATGGGCAGTTAAATTAAAAAAATATTTTATTTTTAATTTAAAAAGGGATTTTCCCAATTAAACCCCTTAACAAAGTAAAGGGGGGTAAAAAATAAAAATACTTTATTTAGGTATTTTGGTTCATTTCAGGAAAAATTTGGGGGAAATGATATAGGGAGTGTTCATTAAAACCGCGCTTGTGAAGACTGTAGGGCAGGTGGGATCGTTTTTGCCTGTTGATGTTTTCATTATCATTTATTAATATTTTATTTTACCCTCTGTTCATTTTTACATAATATTAATGAGAAAAAAGAAAAGTACAGTTTTTAAATTGATTTTTTGTTTTTATTAAAATTGGGGGTTAGTTTTTTATCTCTGGCCCCTTTGTTGGTACCCGCTTCATTCTTTCAGTTAATTTTTTTCATACCACCCCAATCTTTTTCTAGTGGTCATCCACGTAAAAATAATGCTCGTTTTTCATACAACCCTGCTTATTTTCTATACCCTTCTAGTTATTGCCTCGGAACTTTAATACTTGTTAGTGACCATCATTCCCACTTCCAAACAAGTACATGTACTTACAATAGTACAGCACACTGTCATACATAGTTGACAGCTCTTGTTATTTTGTCTGGTCTCTAGTCATAGCTATATATTTGATCTTTATGATACATAGAGTGGGCCTACATGAATCAATTATTTGTGTAGCTGACTTCAAATAACATGCCCCTACATGTATATGGTGTGTGATTAAATCAAGCAATTCATGTTAAATCGCTTCATCATCATCACTGTTATTCAGTAGTTTGGCTACTGTTTTCGATGACTAAATAAAACATAAGAAACAGTGCTGCCACTTCTGAAGTCAAATTATGTGTAACATATATCTTGCTGACCTGCTGATACCCAAAGTGAATAGCCTTTGCTACCAGTATAGAGCCTGGTTATACAGTTATGTTATGTTAAGTTATTTTTAACTTTGAGCAGTTGAAACATACAATACAAAACTATAATGTAGTCTGTAATTTAGTTAAATTGCTGCAAAAAATTAAAACATTTCGAAAATTCCAGGAGACACATTGTTTTAAATGGTTTATTTATTTAATGTATAAACATGTACATTTTATGAGTTCAGTGGCTTTTGTGTATTTTTTTTTTTTGTAATTCAATGACAAATCAGTCTTTTTTATGTAAGCCAAATGTCATTATAGTAACTTATGAAATATCTTTAATTCATTAGAGCATGTGTTGATCAAAGGTATACAAAATTTTTAAAGAATTCTAGTTTTCTTAGTTACTGAATCAACTAAAGTACACTGTTTCCAAACAATGATAGTCGTATTTTGGTACATTTGTATTTATGACAGCAAGTTCAGGATAGAATTCCAGTAAGTGATACAATTGTCATCAAAAATCAAATTTTGTTTCTCTTTTTTAAATAATTTTGGGAAAAAAACCCCAAACATAAACCCTTATACACCATGGGTTTTTATCTTTGTCTGTTTTTAAAATTTTTTTTTTTACCCCAATATAAAAATAAACATTGAACCAAAGTTTAAAACTATTATAGTTCTAATTATATATAAACTTTCATGGTTTTTTTCCACAGGGCTGTACAAAGGTTTACTGTTTAGCTAGGGTAAGCTGTCACATGGGTTTTTCAAGGAAAGGGCCCTTTTCCCAAAAAATCTAGTTCCATTTTATATGGGGGGACAGGTTTGGTCCCGTTATTTAATTTGGATGAGTACTGTATTGCAGGTTTTAAATTTATCTTTTTAATTGTTAAAACATCTTTTGCATGAATGGGCCCTTTTTCCCCCAGGGGTTTTTTGGACAAAATCCTGATCTTTTCCCGCCCGGGGATTATTTCTGGATTTTTCCAAAAAAACCCCCAACAAAAAAATTTTTAAAACATAATTTTTTTTAAAAAACCCTAAAAACCCCCAAATTTTTCGAGCATTTCCATTCATTCAAAAAGTTTAAAGGTTCTGCCCTAAAAACAGCAGTGGTGTCTACCCATGTTTTTGATAATTACCCTGACATGCTTCAATTATTTACTTTCAAATTGTTTGCTTTGTCAGAGGTATCATAATTCTATGCTGAGTAATAATGAAAAAACATAGCCAGTCTGTTTGAAATGTAGTCACAGCAACAAGAACTTTCCAGTATTCATAATGTAATATAGGTCTGTCAGGGCAAGTTGTTTGAAATTTTACTTATGTAGAAGCATAGAGCTCATACTTTGTGTGCCTAAAGATTGTTATCTCACATTGTATTATGCTATGGATAAAATGGCTATTTGTAAATATATTTTTGGTTATATGAAAAAGCTAGTCTCCAGTTATCAATAGGTAGTGATGATAACCAGATTACCTGTGTCTACATGGTAACATCTTGGGTCTTACCAAGTAAATCTAGAAAGGCAAATAGCAGTTACAGTGATTATGTGACTTATATAAACCCTCTCCTTTACTCATATCTAACTCAATAGCTCCTAAAATGAATAAAAATTGATGTTAAAGGGACTCAACTAATGTTTAAAAGCCTAGAAACATAACATTTGAATTTCTTACATAAATGAGCTGGGGCACTTTAAACAGAAATATATGCAAAGATAGATAAGAAATATACTTTGAAATAAATTGAAAATCGAATTTTTATAATTTTCTTAGCCCGATTTTATTGAAAAGTGTTTAAATGCTTTTCGTTTTAGGTCATTTTTTACAATTTTAATAATTTTCTGGAAAAACGAAGTGGGCGAATGATTTGAAATTTTGCACACAGATTAGTGGTCTAAACCTAATCAAATGGTACATTTATCTAGAAAATATTTTCAATCCCATCATGTCAAAAAGCCTGAGTGGAGTACCTTTAAAAACCTGCGTAAGAATTATTTTAATTCATAGTAAACAAATGATGTTATTAGAAATTCATGTAATGATATGTGTATATACATTCAAGATATTCTAAGTGGGAAATATAAATAAGTGTAAAATGTGTAATGTCTTATGATGTTATATTTTGTGTTTGATTTTATAGCTGCAGGACTGGAAGATGTGTTTGGACTTCTAGCACTTACCCAGGAGATCAAGGTATATTTAATGTATAGTTAGTGTATAATTTTAGTTTCTATATAACAGTATTTTTGTTTACAAAGACAACAATGTTTACATATTGCTGTGATCATAATGTCCATCTTTGTCATACTGTATCATTGGAATATCATATAAAAGACACTTTAATGTATTACCCTATCCAATGTCAGTATGTTTATACTGTAATAATCCATACTAGTCCTTATGTCTGGGTGCCAAGGTAAAAAGCTTTTTATAACATTTTTATACCTGTTGTTCAAACTTGCCCAACCTCCAAAACTTAAGAGTTAAACTCTGTATTACTACTTTCTTTACTGAAAAGTTTAACTTTGTAGCAGAAATGTGTGAAATTTAACCAAATACTTGTTTTTAAAGTATTATTCAGGGAACTTCTTATTTAATCTTTTCATTTAATATACTTGGTATATATCGTATAAAATAGATGTTGTATAATTAATGGTAGTCTCCTACTGATGTTAAAAAGGCTATTATTACATTTTTCTTGCCTTTTATAGGTAAACAAATGTCTCTCCTCCTCATTCCCTTCTTCCCCAGATATACACTTTACAATTAATTATTCCTGAAGCAAAATGATTTATCCTTTTTACTGGATGAAAGAAAATAATTGGCATTCAGGATTTTTGACATTACTTAGAGTAGATTAATAAAGTTACATATTTTCTTAAACTTTTTTGTTGAAGGCTGATGATCTTGATTGAGTGTAAACTGTTGTTATACTATATTTTACCCCTGACGTAAAAGTGTTATTTCTATTTACAGGTTACGTATTTTTTAAGTTTTTCTGGACACGAGAAGTTTACTGAAAAGGTTGTTTTGTGT